TCCTTCCTGGGGTCCTCATACTCATCTTTCTGTTCTGTTTCCTTCTTTTTCTTTTCTTCTTCCTCCCACTCCTTTCCCCCTCCTTCTTTTTCCTTCTTCATTTTATTGTTATTATATTTGAGTGAAATGAATTCTTTTTGTTCCAACTATTTGCAGAAGATTTGTACCAGGAGGAAACCAGAGCAGTAGTACTCTAAGCAACCTGGGATTTTCCTTGGTTGATTTTGTGATTCCTATGCAGTGGTGTGTGTGTGTGTGTGTGTGTGTGTGTGTGTGTGTGTGGTGTGGTGTGTGTGTGTGCCTTTATGTTTTCCAAGATATCAGAGGGAAGCTATGGTAGGATTGCTCATAATTCAGCCTCTGCCCTCCACCAGCCTCAGTATCTCACGACATCCCTGTTTGATATTCACAGCATTTAATGGCACTTCCATACAAAGTTTTTATTTAGATTACAGATTTTAATAGTATTTGTATTTCTGTTTCTTATTCTCCTTATTGTGAAGGTCATAATTTCTTAGAAGAAAGGGCTAAAATTTACTATTTTAAATCCAAAAGCACAATACTTTTCTCATAGCTAATCTTTGTGCACTCTTTCTCGAGGAGGATGGAAAGTGTACATTGCTGCATTTTGGTTTTGTTGTGGTTGTTCTTGGGTTTTTTTTTTGTTTTTTTGTTTTTTTTTTTAGTTGCCATTGACATTCATTTTTATTGAGAACCTGAAATCATTTCTTTTCATATAGTACAGCGGTGTCTCTGTGAGTAGGGAGAAAAATAGAGTGTGGGAATTTTAACTGTATTTAAACTTTTTCTCTAACCTGTTGAGTTTCTTTTATTAAGTCAGAATTCACACACCATGAATTCATCCTTTCCCAGGACGCCTTTCAGTGGTTTTCGGCATATCCACAAAGTCATGCAATCATGACCATGATCTAATTCTAGAACGTTTTCATCACTGTAAAAAAGAAAAGTGCTTGTTAGTAGTTACTCCCCATTCCTCCTTCCCCTAGTCTCTGGCAACTACTCATCCATTTTCTGTCTCTGTGAATTTGCTTTTTCTAGATTTTATTATATAATGCATCATGTTTTCAAGGTTCATCTATATCAGAACATATATCAGTATTTCATTTCTCTGTGGCTGGATAACATTTCATTATACAGATATTGCATATTTTGTTATTCATTTATCAAGTAACATGACTTGCACATTTGTACTTTTTATCTATTATCAACAATGCTACTGTGAACATTCATATACAAGTTTTTGTGTGGACATATGTTTTTAATACTCATGGGGTATAAACTAGGAGTGGAATTGATGGGTTTTATGCTAACTCTAGTTTAAACTTTTTAAATTCTTTTTTATTGATTTTATTATTTTTTTAATACACGACAAAAGTGGAATGCATCATTCTTATTACACATATAGAGCACAATTTTTCATATCTCTGTATATAAAGTATGTTCATGCCAATTTATGCCTTTATACAGGTACTTTGCTATTTTTTTGCATTACAATTCTTAATACATATATATACCACAATTTTTCATATCTCTGTTTGTATATAAAGTATGTTGACACTCAATTCAAGTCTTCCTACATGTACTTTGGATAATGATGTCCTTCACATTCCACCATCCTTGCTAATCCCCTGCCCCCTCCCTTTCCCTTCCAACCCTCCTTCCTATCTAGAATTAATCTAAACCTCCCTTGCTCTCCCTCCCTACCCCACTATGAGTCACCCCCATTATATCAGAGAAAACATTAGGCATTTGTTTTTTTGGGATTGGCTATCTTCACTTAGCATTATCTTCTCCAAGGCCATCCGTTTACCTGCAAATGCCATGATTTTGTTCTTTTTTAATGCTAAAGTAAAATTCCATTGTGTATATATGCCACATTTTTGTTGTTTTTGTTTTTAGTACCAGGGGTTGAACTCAGGGGCACTCAACCACTGAGCCACATCCCTAGCCTTATTTTGTATTCTGTTTAGTGAATTGCTCAGGGCCTTGCTAAGTTGCTGAGGCTGGCTTTGAACTCATGATCCTCCTGCTTCAGCCTTCCGAGGCACTAGGACTACAAATGTGTATCACTGTGCCTGGTATACTGCTGTATTTTTTTAGCTTTATGTTTTTGTTCAATCCCCAAATACTTATGTTTTCTTCCCTCCACCTGAAAAGGCTCACTTGAGATATCACCTGTTTTCTAAGTTCTCACATTGGCAGATGCCAGGTTCCCTGTGAACTTCCAATTCAAGGACTCTTATTTCTTTTTACTAGTTTGCTGCTTACATATAGTTTCAGTAACAAACTAACCTTCAAATTTAATGCAGCACACCTAAATGTAAGTGTGTCACCCACTTATGATACAGGACAAGTGTCTCTTGATTGACAGGTGGTTCTATGATAAACAGAGTCTATCATCTAAATGACTTCTATTGTGCTTGTCTACATCAAGCCAGCAAAAGGGGGAAGATAGGGAGAAGTAGGTACAGGAGATTTTACAGGCCCTAACCATGGTGAAACTACATCCCCTCTCCTCTTGCTGTACTATCTAGCACTAAGCAGAAGAGATTCTGCACAATGTAGACCAGTTGTGTGAACAGGAAACAGAGGAGCGGTAGGAATCTGGTGAACTACCTGCGTAATTGCTCTCTACTTTACCTGTCATAAATGTCTCAGTGACAAAGGAATTTAAGTGTTTCTAACCAAATTAGTCTTTTCATTCATTCAGCGGAATATTCATTATCTTCCTTCTGCATACCAACTGCGTGACTTAAGCAGTTGGAGTTATCTTAACCCCTACCATAGAAATGATATTTATTTTTCTGAGTAGTCCTAGAAGAAAAAAAAATAGTTAGTTTTAAAAAGAATCTTTTATTACAACTGAGACTTTCTGAGAAATTTGACCTCTTCAGTAAAAAGGAAAGCGGTTGAATAATCCCCTAAGGGCCAGTAACTATAAAGTCATAGGATATTGTGTTATCAATCAAGATGGATTCACCTGTAGACGTTTATTCATCCACATAACTTATGGTACATTTTTAAAGAGTTCATAAGTGAATGTGTCCTCCAAAGGGAAGTCAGAAACCATTGTTTTAAAACAGGCTTTTCATGGTTGAGTCTACACAGCTCAAATAAAAGCAAAAGATGCAAGTGCTGAATGGATGTGGGTATGAGCAAGTTCACAGAATTAGAACTTACTTAATATCATGCAAGTTTTGGATAATGAAATCCAAATTCATGCTTGCTTCTTAGAAGTCAGGTGGAGAATGTTCACCACCTCACCTTCTTATTCTGTCCCATTAAAATGTATCAGCAAAACAACTTGTGTTCCTGCTATGTAGAAATAAGAAAAGGATTTTAATTGTTTTAGCTAAGCTTTCCCACTTTCCCACTAAAGATTTTTGAGAGACACAGCATCCCTCAGCCAGGAAATAGAGACACCCCTGGGTGTCTGTATAGGAAAAGTGTGCAAAAGAACTGAGCCACTTCAGGACTGTTCCTGAGACCCTTGCATGTCCTCAAATCCTACTAGGAGCCATTGTTCACCTTCTTCAGACACCCACTCCTTTTCTGTTTTTTTCAGTGGATTTAAATGTGTGTGGTGTGTGTGTGTGTGAGCTAGTGTCCTTCTCTTTGATAACATGGCTTAAAAATAATGCACATTCAGTCTTTGAGCCAGATCTGCTTTCAGGTTGCTATTACCTTTTATTTATTACCAATTCATTGGTAATATTTATCAAGCCAGAGTGTATTTGATGGAACAGATTTACTAAATATTTCTCGAATCTTGACCTTAAATATCATAGAGATTATTGAGAAACAATAATATTTCTTCAAACAGTTCTATTTATTTTCATACATTTTTCTTTTTCTTCCTCTTCATAACTCTATGAGGTAGTGACTACTATCCCACATTTAACAGATGAAAACACTGAAACTTAGGAAGGAACCATAAGCTTCCTAAGATTACATGTCTCCCAGGAGAGGGGCAGGATTCAAGCATAAGCTGGTAGCCATTTCTGGGGCAGGTTTTTTTCCTGGTAAATGAAAGAGAGCGACTTCACTCCTGGAAGATGGGTGACATATTTTCACTGATGTGACTGGAATATTGAGCTTCTGACCCATGTTTTTAAAAATCATCTCCATCCACAGATTTTTTCAAAGCACTTATTTATTATAGTGATGCTTCTTGGTGAGACTGAGAATGTATCGGTCAGACAATTATGCTTTATTATTGTCTAACTTGGTTTTTTTGTGTTTTTTTGTTTGTTATTTTTTATTCAGTACAAGGGCACTCAACCACTGACCCACATCCCCAGCCCTATTTTTTATTTTATTTAAAGTCAGGGTCTCACTGAGTTGCTTAGCGCTTTGCTTTTGCTGAGGCTGGCTTGTAAAATTGTGATTCTGCCTCAGTCTCTGAGACGCTGGAATCACAGGCATGGGCCACCATGCCCAGCTACTCTGATTCTTCTTAGTTCCCGTATCTTTGTCAACAGAGCCCTGAGCCTACAAGCACAGGAGCACTTACTCCAGTTGTGTGCACCTTTAAGTAGCACTAACAGGCAAAACTGAATCAGTACAGTTTGAACTTTAGTTGGACACTGCCCATAGCTTGGAGGGGATCTAGGGCTAGAAAAAGGTCACAGACACAGGAAAACTTGGGAAAACACAGTAGTTCTGACTACAGAGCTGACTCCAGGCCATAGGACACATGGCCCATTGCCTTATTTTCCACAGGGAATCTATTGCTGTCCACCAGCATGAGCCTTAGCGACAGCATGAGCCTTTGTAGCTGGATGTAATGATTGGACCCCAGAGGGTGTTGGCTTCTTGGTGTCTTTTATGCAGAGGAGCGGAACCCACAAGAACGTATTACATAACGTAATTGTAATAATTAAAATAAAACCCAATGGCCTAAGTGGCAGGTTGCTAAATAAAATCTGGGCTGCTCGACCTACTGTTCTTTAATTTACCATGACCTCCTGTTTTTCTAGGGTGACAGAGAAGCAGAGCTGGGGCTGCCTTTTTCTCCTCTGTGTGACAGGAAGTCAACCATGGTTGCTCAGTCACAAGTAGGTAGGTGTCTGCCAGCCATTTGGACAGCAGGAAACACCAGCTGGGAAGTCTCTGGAAGTTCAGCAGAGATGTTCTATGTGATTCCTTGGCCAGGAGACTGGCTCTGGTCTGCCATGAGGTACCATCAGCTTTGGCTGCTTGGATGGATGGAGCTTCTTCATTCTTCTGCTTGGAATATGGCTAGTTCCTGGGGAGATCAGACAGTGACACTGTGGTGTCTCTGATGTTCCCTGCCATGATGAAAGGGTTTTCAGCTTTTTAAGGAAATGATGAGTCATTGTCAGGAAGCACGTTCTGCCTTGGTCTTTCCATCCTGCTTACAACACTAGAAGTTTCTATGGTATATCCCCTCGTGATGCTACTGCTAGTTCAGTGTTCAGGATGGACCCATTTTCTGGATGACTCTACTTCCAGGAATGGCTCTTCAAATATTTTTCTTCCTTCCTTCCTTTTTTTTTTTTAAACTAAACAAAACATTACTTTTTGGTGAGGATCACCTTTGTATTGTTAATGACTACATTAAGTGTATAGCAAAAATCTTCAGCTATGGGCGGCGGTAGCAGTGCCATCCATAAATTAAATGTAATGCATACATTAAATATCATCAGTGATCTCCACCTTGAAGAGTGAAATCATTCAAAAATTAAATTTAATAAGCATTTATCAGTTTTTCTACTTGTATTTTGAATCCTTGTTCATTTTTTTTCATAATATAGCTTGAATCCTGTCAAGTATTAGACACTGCTATGTATTAAAATAGACATTATAAAATCAAAGACAAATGATATATGTATCTGTCCTCCAAGATATTAAACCAGTTTGGGGAAGAGGACAAGATGTTATAAAAACAAAAATCTTCCAGAGCATTAATATGTTAAGGTAAATTTCTGATCCGAACGTTGTACCTCACAGTACAAAATAGAGTGTGGGAACCCTTAGACCCAGTGGTCCATTCTAGACTTACTGGAGAGAAATATTTGAGCTGCATCCTGGGAAGTAAGCCGATATTATGTAGGCAAATAGTGAATCGTATTAGAGATGAGTTAGGGGTGGGTGGGAARGCAGTCCAGGCAGGACGTACAACTTATACAGAGAAGAGAAACTGTGGTCAGTGAATTCTAAACAGCTCCATATGGCAGGAGCAGTAGGAAGGGAGTAGGATGCAGCAAAGGACATGTCTGGAGAGAAAATGAGGCCCAGATTTTATATTGCGTTAAGAATAGCACATGCCTACACTTTCTGGCCAGAATGAAGCTCTACCTAAAGAATTTAATGTAAGGTTAAATAACACACAAATTCATGTTTTAGCCTGTGGGCGTAATTGGACCCACCACCTGTTTTTGTAAATAAATTTTATTATAACACAGCTAAGTCCCTTCATTTCCATATTGTCTGTGCTTTTGCACTACAGGCGGCAGAGCTGAGTGGTTTTAATAGAGATGAGTGGCCTACAAAACCTAAAGTCACCCTCTAGTCTTTTGCAGAAAGTTTGCTGACCCTCTTTTAGAAACATTTCCCCACCAGTAGTTAGGGAGGATGAGTTGGAGGGTTTTGGTTAAGAATAGCAGTAAGGAAACCCATTGGATGCCTCCTGCAGGACTGGGAGGAAGAGATGAGGCTTGTCAGAACTGAGTTGGTGACAGGGACTCTCCAGAGTAAAGAAGGCATACCAAGTGTGAAGGATTTGGCTGAATACAAAGTTCTGGGAAAGGTGGGAATTTAGAGTATGTGGTTGGACCTCAATCTCAGTTACAAGGTTGGAGAAAAAGCTAATATGTTAGCTTTGGTTTGGATATGTTGCATTTAACTTGGGGGAAAAGTCACAATGGGACCATCAAATACTTGAGTTTGAGCTCAACATTATACTATAATTAACTAGAACACAAATGTGGCTTTCAGTGTTTCTTTATCAGGATACTACTGATACGTGGTTAGGACAATTCCTGTTTTGTCAATTCCATGGTAGGAATTTTTAGCATCCTTCACTGCTGAGCATCAAAGACTGGTATCACCCCAACCTCCATCATAGTGAAAACCAAATATGTATTCATACATTTCCAGATATCCACCGGGAAAATATCCTTTGGTTGATATTAGTTTCCTTCCAACTTTCACGTGGCTCACTCCCCTCCCATCCATCTTGCCATATTAACTTTCCCAAAGAACATTTTGAAAATCTTATTACAGTGTTGCCCAGACATCTTCAGGGGTTTCCAGTGCCCTGTTAGGTCCCAGCTCCCTAGGAATCCCCCTTCCTGAGCTACGGGTGATCTACCTTCTGAGCTTTCTTTTCTCAAGTCTAAAAGAGTCCAGAAAAGCCCCCAAACATTGCTCAACACCTCCGTCACTGTCCTATCTGCCACTTCACTAACCCCACCCTGTCTACCCAGAGTGAGTGGCCGAGTCTTCCTCTCCACCCATTCTTAAGGCCTCAGCTCAAACACTACAACCTCATAAAGCTGTTCACAGGTCTTTCAGCGGAGGGCAGTGTCCCCTCTCTCTCACACCTTCCCAGGAGTATTCATCTGTCCTCCTCTGGCCCTCCAAATGCTCCTGGGGGTCATCTTTGTGTTCATTTAATCTCTCCTGTAAATTCCTTGTGGGCAGGCCGGTGTGGTTATTCTTCTCACAATTCCTATCACACTGCTTATCACAAGGCAGGTGCTGAATATGTATTTTAAAGTACTTAATTGTATTTCCTATTGAAAAGCCATAAAGTTCGGAAGGAGACAGGGAGCTGACTCATGGCATTCAAATCAAGGAATCTATTAAACGAACAAGACCCGCTGGCTCTTAATCTGATCTTCAGCTCCTGAATTTTAAAAGACAGAAAAGACTCACCCGTTTCCCCTGGGGAGCGTGGAACAGCCCATTGACTCTGTAGTTCCTCTGAGGCATTGCTGTTTCTCTGCAGGTTTTATTGATTTCATTGTGGAACCGACCTTCACTGTGCTCACGGACATGACCGAAAAGATTGTGAGTCCATTAATCGATGAAACCTCCCAAACTGGTGGGACAGGACAGAGGCGCTCAAGGTCAGTGGAGAAGTTTGAGGGGGGGGGGGCGGTTGGCCTGTCTACAAGGATCCTCTCCTGTTGGTGGGGACCCTCACCTCCTTTTTATGAGAGATCTGCTGCTTATTTCCTCAGAGAAGTTGAAACTCTACTCTCTGTACTCTCCAGACTGGCCTGAAAATGGTAACCCACATTCAAATTATGACTGGCAGGTCCCTGGTACCCCCAACCCCTGTCCTCTCTTGGCCTTTGCTCATGGCAGGAGCCACCATTGAACTTTAGCCCACTGTTCCCAGAAAGCCTTGCTCCTGATTCTTCAAAAAGAACCACTGATCAGAGTTCTTACAAGAACTGAAACTGACTTTCATTTCTAGATTCAGGAAGAGAATGAATAGAGAAAAAAAAAAAAAAAACCCTGAACGTTTTTAATCGCCTTCTGCTTCAGTGCTATTGTTCCAAATGGAGAAGAGCGTAGAGTAGGAGAGCTCAGACTCTGGAGTGAGCATGCCGGTGTTAGAATCCAGACTCCATCACTTATTACCTGTGCAGTCTCAAGCAGGTTCCTCAGTTTCCTCATCTGAGAAAGTGTGGATTATAATATTCATAGGTTGCTGGAAAGATTCAGTGAGTTATTCATTATATAACTGCTTAGAACAGAATCTGGCATTAAATTTAACTGTATTAAAGCTGGCAATTAGTCTTTATTGGCAAGGTTACCGCTGCTGCTCCTACAACTACTACACCTATATTACTACTACTGCTAGTACTATTACTACTGCCACCACTATGACTTGAATGAAAACTGCTAATACCTCCACCACTACTATAGCTAGTGTTACTACACACTATTGCTACTATTACTACTGCTACTACTATAATGACATTCTCCTCCTCATCCATGCAAAACCCTGGGCTTCATCATCAAGGAGAAAAAAAACAGAGTGGATAGGAAGAAGAGAAGAAAAGGTCAAGAAAAAAAGTTAATGGGGAGGGGGGAAGTAAGAGGAACATTAGGACAGGGAGATGTCAGGGATACTCAAGATGGACCACCATTGAGGTTGCTAACAAAGAGGACAGAAGCGCGTGACCAAGTCCTCACAATCCCAGGGCTCTTTAAGCACTGGTTGAAACTTACCTTGCTCCTCCAGTCAGTCTTCACTGTCATTTAGTGACAAATTAGCCTTCATTGTCATAGTCATTTATGCCAGTCACTGCCTTAGCCACTGAGGAGTAGGAGATACTTCGTCAGGATGATATTTTCTGATATTTGCTAACTCACCCACATTCGAAGAATAAAGTAGTATTCGTTTAAAGTAAGGCCTTTTGCACAACTTCATCCTCCACAACCTCCAAGCTGTCTGTGTCTCTCTGTCATCTCCAAGGCACATGAGGAAATCCTCACTCCTTGTGCACTCAGAAAACCAAAATCAAAGGGACCCTGAGTCCAGGACAAGGGAGGAGCTGGAGAGAGAGAGGACCAAATTGCTGGGTAACTTGGAAAAGCAGCCAGAGTAGCAGCAGGGGGTAAACTGCGGAACAAGTAGATTTCCAAGTTCAAATTCATTTATATGAGACAATAGACTGGAAAATTCATGTGGGTGGATTCTAGGTACAGGAAAAAAGAAGGGATCACTCAGCCCAGCAGAGAAGCAGGACTGTGAAGACTCCTGAGGGTGCAGGGTCGATATTTTTCCTGCTGAAAATTTAGAATTTCCCACGTTTCATATTTGGAAAATGTATTTCCAGGAATATATTTTCAGGACCCAGGAATTTTATGACAACGTATTGACCAGTGCCAACTACCTTTCTCTTGGGTTTGCTTGTTGCATACGTCTTTCAAACAGTAACACTCCTCTTCGATGCAATTTCTTATTTGGTCCTCCAGTTTGAACAGCATCAGCTCATCAGATGCAAAGCAGCGATCAGGTGTCAAGAGCTCTGGGTCAGAAGGAAGTGCCCCCATCAACAATTCCGTTATCCCTGTTGACTACAAGAGCTTTAAAGCCACTTGGACGGAGGTGGTGCACATCAATCGGGAGAGATGGAGAGCCAAGGTGCCAAAAGGTAATATGCTATGGGGGAAAGAATCTTCCAGGACACCTAAACCAACTCAGCATTCACTCATGAAGCAATGGTTGTCTTCCCTGACTATGGATGTGGCAAATAAAACACAAGTGCTCAGGGTGCTGCAGTCACTGATTATTAGGCTCTCCCATCTTTGATCTTAGTTACCTGAAACTCAATGTGTGGTAAACTGTGGCAGGCCTCGGTGCCTCCTGCCATCTTGCCCTTTGTGATTTAACTGGACTCCTTTTCCTGGTGTGATGATTCTGTGGGGGAGGGGTATTATTATTTCTTGGTTTTTGTTAGACTATCTTGTCAGACTCATTTCATGTTCTGAGGCCTTTACTATTTCTTTTGCCTAAGCAAAGCCCAGCCAATACCCACCTTGGCCATTATGTTGGGATATTAGGAGCTTTTCTTTCCTTATGTGCATACATTTTTATGTTTCTTTCATATTCACTATTTCCATTCACTCATTGCTCCGACCGTAAAACTGCTTTTCTGAGATGGTGTGACTTGTAAGTAAACAGAATCCCCTGAGTCAACATCATCAAAAGTTCAGACCAGAAAAACTGTCTTGTGGGACTATTCACAAAGACGGAAATTCACTCATTTCTTGGAAGCTTAACATGCTGGTGTGAACAAATGAACTTCAGGATCAGCATGTGCTACGTGAGCAGCCTGTATCTTAGGTACGGAGGCACCATAAACAGAGGTGGCACAAACCTGGTGTGAGGGGGGAAAGCTGTGAGGCCTGGTTCCAGCCAGAGATACAGACGTGGGTGACTCTTGGGGCTCAGTGAAGGGCCTGATTCCAGTGGGCTGTACGGAGGTGAGCCTTCAACAATAGTCAGTTTTTGCTGACATCTGTTGTGTGCCCAGTGCTGAGGACATAGAGATGAGTAACAGACATGTTTATCCTCAGTGGTGGCAGTCTTTGGCAGGAGAGGGACATAGACATTACTTTGGAGTTGCCTGCAGAGGAAGCATAGGACTTCAGTCGCAACCTTGCACTTGTCACCAGCCCCCACCAACCCTGAGCCCCAGACCCTCACAGCAGTCAAAGAGGGTTTTAACCCCAAACACACTCCCCAGAATTTTATTCTCCCAGTGTCAGCACAACGTGTGAAAAGAAGGGTGGGATGGTGGATGTCTTAGTCCATTTTCTGTTGCTATAACAACATACCTAAGTCTGGAAATTTATATAGGTTAAAAATGTATTTGTTTCACAGTTCTGGAGGCCAAGAAGTCCAAGAACACACTCTTGGCATCTGCCTAGTGGAGGACATCACTTGTTGAGGCAGACCAAGCATGTTAGCTCAGCTTCTCTTCCCCTTTCTACAGGACCACTCCTGCCATCATGGAGGCCCAGACTCATGACCTTTTCTAATCCTAATTACCTCCCAATGGTCCCACCTCGAAGCAATGTATAAATTTAGGGATTAAAATTTCAATTTGTGAAATTTGGAGGATACTTTGATACCATTTAGAGGAAGAGCATGACTGGCAGTCTTGATCCTCATACATCAGGGTAGGCTGGGTCTGCTCCCAGTGGAGAGGAGCAGCCTCATCCTCACCGTTGGATTTATTTAAAGGTCCAACAATGTGACTTGCCCACAAAATCCTGTCCGCATGGCTGCTCATTGAGGAGAAGCAAAGTGTTTGCATTTATGGTGCTTCTAGGGCATAATTGGACCCTTATCATTTGGGACAGATGTTGCACCCTGAGCTGCAGAGGGAGCCAACACCTCTTCCATATTTTAAGTGTTGGAGGGCTCACAGTCCATTCAAATGCTGCAAACATTCAAATCCTCCATGTTGGCAGGCATTGCAAGCAGCCATGGCAGCTCCTGCATCATCTCAAAAGAAGCACACACTCGCAATCAATTGCACTTGAAAATTTAAAGCCTGACAAGGCACAGTTTAAAGAGGTACTTCAAAATAATTTGTTTGCAATCATCTAGCTTACAAAAATTACTTTCTGAAACTAATTACCTGGGAAAATACTAGGCAATTTCTTTTCCTATGGAAAATTGGCTTTTAAAAAAAGGACAGGTAAATAGCTCAAATTTTTCAATGTATTAGGTATGCAGATAAAGATGTGTTAGGCTTTTTTAGCAGCATAGAATGACTATTCCCTCACCCTGCTTGGTTCTTTGGTTAAGGCCCTATGTAGTCAGGATTTGAAGAACACCTGAGTGGACCTGAAGGAGGCATTAGGAATGGGAACAAGGAGAAAGAAGATGGATCCAGGTGCAGAGCCCGGGTTATGGGTATTTTGTGGGAGGATCGTTTGGTTACCAAGGCAAATTTCAGTAAGTGGGCAAATGGAGAATTGAATCCTGACTTGCAAGGTTCTTTGGCAAATTCAGCTGGGTTCTTTTAGAGTCCATTTTGGGGATGGTAATGAACTTGACAGAGTTGATGCACAGAGAGATAACATGCAAAGCACTAAGAACAGAGCCTGCACATGGTAGTGCCTGATAAATGGCAGCTGTTATCTAAATACTTTAGAAAAGAAGGTTAGCAGTTGTAAAGCAAAGTCGAGATGCAGGTGGTAAAAATACCCAACCTAAAGCTAATGTTTTTATAACATTTTTGGCTTCCTGGTAATACTGTTGATTGTTTGACTGATGCTAATGAGAAGTTCCGTTTGCATTTGTTTCAGTGGTCTGCTTGATTAGATAATCCCAGGTGTGTTTCACATTGCTTTGTTTTTCCCCATTTCCCCTCAGAGGACCCTGATTTCAAAAGTGTCTGCCCTCCATGTGGCATTTGAACATATATTGTCATTAAACTGATTGGAAATGGAATTGGATCTAAAGTCTTGGTTTTATTAACCAACCTAATTTACAAAGCCAACTAGGCCAGAATTCATAGTTCTTAGGAAATGTAACATCAAGATTTTTTATAACTTTTAGGGCTAAATATCATTATTCCCAATCAAGATATTCTGTATAACAGTTTGCAAGTCAGATCTATATCAATTTCCATCCAATATTTAATATATTTTACCATGAATTTTCTGATGTAAGAATATCATGTGTTTAGGCCATAAGTGCTTATGACCTATTCAGGATTTTAACTATTGTTCATATCCTAAAGTCATTCTTTTTTATTTGCTTAACTATGTATATGTGTAAGTAAAGGTTTCCCTACCAAATTGGGATCATACTAGAATATGTGTTGTGTTCTATTTTTTTTTCTATTCTAAGTATTTTATCCTGAAGCTGCATATTCTGACTTAAGTGGCTACATCATTTACAAAACCATAGTTGAATCCTTCTTTATTATTCAGTATTAGACTTCCACTTCACTATTACATATAACATTATTATGTACCTACATATTCAAAAGTTTTTGAGCATATTTCAGATTATTTATTTGGTATAAATTCCTAGATCTGATATTCCTCTGTCAAGGCAGATGAAAACTTTTTAAATTCTTGGTTATTATACTATAAAATTTCTCTAAATTTTTAACGAAATTTTCTCTCTCAATTGGACATATAGTAAGAGTGCCTATTTCTGTTTACCATTTCCTCCATTATTTTTCCATCAGAATGTTTACTTTCATGTCATTGAGTCATAATTATTTTTATATATTGAGGATGATAATTCTTTAGTTGTCAAAATATCTTCCAATTTGTACTCCACCCCAGTTGGTCTTATGCTTTTAACTTTGCTTATGGCCTCTTCTCTTTATACCTCCTAATTTCATTTTTCTAAAAATTACTTTTAAGGTTTTCTATTTACTTATAATTCTCCATAAATGTATGCATGGAAGAGTATATAGTGATGCTGCCTTGCAATGTTGAGAAATTCAGTTAATTTTTACTCATTTCCTTCATCAATTCTCAGCTTTTATTGAAGAGGGGAATTTCAAACTAGTTGGTTTTAAGTGAAGTTTGTTTGTTTGTTTTAAGGGAACATAGCAGGGATTGAACTCAGGGACACTCCACTCCTGAGCCACATCCCCAACCCTATTTTGCATTTTATTTAGAGATAGGGTCTCACTGAGTTGCTTAGCACCTTGCTTTTGCTGAGGCTGCCTTTCAACTCAGGATCTTTCTGCCCTCATACTCCTGAGCTGCTGGGATTACAGGCATGCACCACTATGCCTGGTGTGAAGTGTTCTTTTATAATCAAATTACTCTTAAATATTGTTTTTTCATAGTTTCATCAAATTTCATTTCTAATTTAGCAACAATTTTATTTGGCAATAAATTTCGCTAGTTTCACTTGCCCAATTGACATGTTTTCCTCGTTTTTGAGTTTTTAGCATTGATTGAAATTTTCTGTCACCCGTAATACTTCTTTGACTAAAATTTTCGGGAAGTTGCTATGGGAACACCTTAGATGTGCCTGAAAGTTCCTTTCTATTGTTCTGGTACTGAACACAATGGAAAGATCACGTAGTATTTTGGTTGCTTTCCCTGTGCCACCGCCCCCCCCCCAGCCTCCCCAGTCTGTCTGTCAGTCCCCTGTTCCTGTTTTTTTATTTTTCTTTCTCTTTGTTTGTGGTAGTTTAAGTACAGATTCAGAAAGCTATGTCACTGGGATAGAAAACTATCCCAGTGCATTATTAACTACAGAGCCCATAGTATTATTGTTCAAGAATGTACATAATAAAGAAATCAAGTGTATGTCTTTGAGTCTCTACAGATGTTCAGTGTGGGGCAGAATCAGCTGTCTGTTAGGAGGAGTGTAATTTATGGATCTTGAGGGCTCTGTTCCACCCTAACTGTTGAGCTGCTTGCCATTGGCCATTTTCATAGTGAGTCACATCGTGACACATAGTTTGAAATGGAAGGCAATTGGAAAATGCAATTTGAATTATGCTAGCCTAGAGGCCTAGGGGTGCCAAGGATGCTAAACCTCAGACTTGAAAATGCGTCCTTTGTATCCATGACATCATTGGAACCTGTTAATATGAACCAATTAACAGTGCCAACCAATCAACAGTGTGGCCACCTATTTTTTTCTTATTTATCTGTACTAGTAATTTCACCTTGGAAACATGAAGGAATCTGATTGCAGTGGAGAGCTGCCTCCTGTTGCTGCGTTGTTTTCTGTCTGTGTGTTTGCTGGTTTTTGTCTACTTGTTCTGAGTAGTATCTTTTAGGGTACCCTATGGGCCGATGGCACTTGTATCAGCTATTTCAGACATGAGCAGAGCCACCCTCTGGAAAGTGATCACTGCAGAGAAAGGAACCACACAGGGGGGAAGGCTCATATCTAATTTGATCATGATGCCAAAAGAATGCATTTAAATTCATGAATTTAAACATCAATTGCCCGATGCCAGCCGCACTTGAGCAGAAGCAGATTTGTTTCTGAAATATGTCTCCTCTCAGTTTTTAAACAAAACTTTTGTTAGATTCCTGTGGAAAATTGGTCTGACTCAGTTGTCAAATGAATTTTTCTTGCTCATATAATATTTTATGGTCTTTGGTAGCAAACCAGAATTTAACACCTTCACTTTTCATCAAAATTATGTTCAAGGTAGGGATATTTTAAATGCTGACAGCTTGTCAGCAGTAGGGATACTGTTGGAAGAGATATAAATTGTTTTCCCTGATACTGAAGGCTGAGTGTGCATGAATTTTCCTCCTCCTTGCCTCATTTTTCCCTCCCTGTGTAGTCAGAACAGTCATTGTTTTACTCACATTAGCAGTTAAAGGAAGCTAATATTCGTCACATGACTCTTTCAGAATAGGCATATTTTCTGTATTGTGTACCTGTCTAGATAGCTGAAGACGGAAAACGTACAAGGAAGGTACATTGGTAGAGAATGTCCACCACACCCCTGGGGTACGTTTCACTGAGTCAACAGGTCCTTCATGAATATGTGCTATGTGCCAGGTGCTGTGCCAAGCAGTGATTGGAGGTGACATTTAACCCCTATCCTTAGGGCATTAAAGAAGGATGAGGGGGAGCATGGGGGAGCATTCTAGGGATCTTCTGTGGCCTGCAGTGCACTGGGAATACCGTCTTGCCATCCACGTGGGCGTTCTTTCACTTTTAAGTCCTGCCTTTCTGTAGAAGTCAGAAGACATGATAGGTAGGCACGTCATTTTGTTATTTATAAAGAAATATTTCCTTCTCCTTTCAATGTAAGCTGTAACGAATCATGTTGGGAAGTAGAGAGTCATGACATGCTGAATGGCAAACTCTTAAACTTTGAATCAGTCTTTCTCCATCCTTACTGCTTGTTAGAATCGCCTAAAAAAACATTTCACATATCCTCTTTTGGTCCCTGTCTCTTCAGAATCTGATTTAATTTGTCTGGGGTGAGGCCAGGCCTTAGGTTTGGACAGATGAGTGGATGGATGGGTGGGTGGGTGCGTGAATGGATAGATGGGTTGAAGGAGCAATGAAATAATGGATGAAAATGCCCTAATATGTTAGAGAGAACATTTGGGGTGAGCAAATAGACGGGCAGAAAAAGTAAAATTTGAACTTTGAGCACTTTAGCGGCTAAAACAAAAGGGAAACATGATTAGATGCATAACTACTCTTGTGTTTGCTTAATTAAAAACAAACAAACCATCTATGAAGTCCAAGCTTTTTCTTAAGACCAGGACTAACTGGGGGGGGGGGGGGGAATAGGACCCTCGATAATGAGATGTGGGCATTTTTAAGACATCTAGAGAAAAATATAGTCATGCTTTTCCCAGTGGAGGTTGATGGCACAGTCTAGAAGGCCTTTTGAGTGAGCTGAACATATAGAGAGTGAGTCTCTAGACCTCAAGGAGGATTGGGCTCTGCTGGGAGCTTTCCATGAATCTTGTTCTCTTCCACAGAGCTCCCCTGGATGCCTCCCAGCCCCTGCATGTTCTGAACCCTGCCTGTCCTTGGCCATTTGATCACATCATCTCTTAGTGACCATTTGCCAAATCTGCTTTGGCCATAGTAGGCAACTCAGTGTCCTTTGAACATTTCTAAAGCTGATGGTATTTCAATACTTCACTCTGCTTTGTTTTTTTGCAAAGCACTTTATACCATTTGAAATTATTTCAGTCATTTGTTTGTTTAAAAATGAGCTTTTCCATGATTCCATCTTGCTTGAGATTTTAGGTATTCCCAATACCTAAAAGAGTGCTTGACACTGTAGCTGCTCAATAAATATTCATTGAGTGAAAAAAACCAAACTTTTCATAAATATTTGACCTATGCAGTGATGCTGTACTTTACATTAAGCACAGAACCAAGCCCTTTCATAATCAGCTGAATTTGAAATAATGCTGACACACTTTCATTAAAGGGGAGGACACAGACTCAGTACCTGGCCAACCTAACAGCCACCTCTCATCCTGAGGACAGTTGAGGACCAAGTTTGTTTGGGCACAACTGTCCTCTTCTTATTTATTAATTAACAGACAGTGGCCTGAATATATATTATTCTGTTGTTGGTTATTTGCCCTTTTTGTTTTGCAATTAATCGAGTATGTCTAGGTCCTAAGCAAACCTACATAAAATGCTGTTCTTTTTCTTTTCCCTGTGGCTGGAGGAAACTTTTATCTTCTCTCTGAGGCTTAATTTCCATATCTCTAAAATAGGGTCATAATATTAATAGCTGCTGAAAAGTTGTTTTAAGAATGAAAAGAGCCAGGTGCAGTGACACATGCCCATCATCCCAGCAGCTCAGGAGGCTGAGGCAGGAGGCTTGTGAGTTCAAAGCCAGCCTCAGCAAAAGTGAGGCACTAAGCAACTTCGACGCTGTCTCTAAATAAAATATAAAATAGGGCTTGGGATGCGGCTCAGTGGTTGAGTGCCCCAGAATTCAATCTCTGGTACCCCCCCCCAAAAAAAATGAATGAAAAAAACCCTTGAATCGAATTGGGCATTATGTAAAATTGTGGATGTGTAACCGACGTGATTCTGCAATCTGCATTTGGGGTAAAATTGGGAGTTCATAACCCACTTCAATCTAATGTATAAAATATGATATGTCAAGAGCTTTGTAATGTTGTGAACAACCAATTAAAAAAAAAAAAAGAAAAGCACTTTACATAATACCTGGCCTAGAGAACATACTCAATAAATGTTATTATTAGTAATAATAATGTCTAATACAATACTGGTTCATTAATCATTGTCATCCTAATGATTTTCTCCCTGCCCTCTCCTCTGACTCACTGTTTTCAGAAATGACATGATGATGAGGCTGTTTTATTGCCTTCCTAAATACATATGCCAATATGGCTTGGGTTAACTAAAAATACCCTCAGAACATGCACTGGACACCTTAGGTAATTGGAGTGTATTAATTCCCACTGCAGATCACTGTCACTACTGTTTTTGAAAGAGGCAGGTCTTCTAAAGGTGTGACTTCTTTCCCCCCTTCCTTCTCCTTGCCTGACTTGCTGCGGATCAGAGGAGAAGGCCAAGAAGGAGGCCGAGGAGAAGGCCCGCCTGGCTGCAGAGGAGAAGCAAAAGGAAATGGAAGCCAAAAGCCAGGCCCAAGAAGGCTCGTCCAGCAAGACTGAGAAAAAGGCATCTGGAGACCCCAAGAGTCACGTCAACGGAACTCGAACAAACAAAAGCGACGAGCCTCGTGGGAAAAATCCCAAAGCGGAGAAGTCAGGAGAAAAGCAGCAGAATGGTGAGTAGACTGCCAGCTGGACAGTGGCTCTCTGGGGTGTTCATGGTGTGATGAGTGGGAGCTGGCCAGACCCTTCCCCATGTCAGCAGCTCCTGGCCCAGGGCCTCCCTGACCATTGGCTCCTGCTGATCCCACTTCCCCTGGCTGGGGATGTCAGCAGGATCCCATCACAATCAGCCACCAGCTCCTCTGCACCTTCCCCCTAGGAAGCCTGGCATCTCTCTGGCTCTCCCAGCTGCCCTGGAGACTCTAGCCAATGCCCACATGCCCACCAGGTGCAAATTACCACTAATCACACCTGCACAGTCCTGGGAGCTCGCTGCCAGGGGGGTGGATGAAAAGTGAACTTCTCAATTGTTCCAGCCCCAGGAGAGCCAGGCCTTAGGTCTGCCTGAGGCCTCTTGCTGTTTGTATGTACATACCACCCACAGTCGTGCAGGTATTATGGTGACCAACCATTTTAATTTGCCTGAAACTAAGAATTTCCTGGAATGCAAGTCTTTCAGTTTTGTTTTGGTACAGGGGATTGAACTCAGAGGCACTCAATCACTGAACCACATCCCCAGCCCTATTTTGTATTTTATTAAGAAACAGGGTCTCACTGAGTTGCTTAGCACCTCACTTTTGCTGAGGCTGGCTTTGAACTTTGTGATCCTCCTGCCTCAGCCTCCCGAGCTGCTGGGATTATAGGCATGTGCCACTGCGCCCAGCAAGACTTTCAGTTTTAAAATAAAAAATGGTCCAGGCCATTACTTTCCTAAGTGCATATATGAACACATGACCAGTATAATTCTATATCATGTACAACCAAAAGAATGGTTATACATGATATAACCATAAATGTCAAAATACATTCTACTGTCATGATAACTAATAAGAACAAACATAAAAAATAAACAACAGAAACAAACAACAGAAATAAACAACAGAAAAATGTTCCAGGCAAGCTGGGACGAGCTGGCCACCATAATGTGCAGCTAATTCATGATGTCTTATATTTGATACAACAGATATTGATTCATTAACAACTATGTGTCAAGTGCTTTACTAGGCATGGGGGATTTAGAATGAAGAAGCCCCAGGAAATCTATGATGTCATAGGGGACATAGACAGCCTCACTAATAATTCTAGTGAAATGCAGACAGAAAACAGCCATGGTGTGGCAGATAAAATGCCCCCCAAAAAACACCCTGCAAAGAAAGACATTAACTTTGTTGGGACGGGAAGGTGTGAGATAGGGTGAAGGCAGAGAAGGCTTCAAGAGGAGATGGGGCCTCAGCCAGGTGTTAAGAGCTGAAGTTTGCTGATAAAATAGGAAAAAGAGGCTTCCAGACACAGAGGACTTGATGAATGCCCTTTGAGGGCATGGACTTGGTCCCCTTGTTTTGGGAAGGGCAGGAAGTTCAGAGTCTGCAGCTTGCAAGTGCCAGATTGTGGATGGGTAGCAAGGTAGCTTTGCAGTCCGACAGACCCGGATTCAAGTTACATCTTTTCCTCTTCTTGGTGGCCTTGGCCAGATTATTTAACCTTTCGTTGTCTCTGTTCAATGTACATACAGCATGGTTTTCTTATGAGCCTTAATAATAATATGGTACCAAAAACTACAAAGAAAATAACTTATGCCAGGTGCTGTTTTAAGTTCTCTCTTTCCATATTTATTTTCTTACCTGCACAGTAGGACCAGGCGATTTCCTCTAGCTATAGTTATTATGCTACAGGGTCTGGGGAAATGAGAAATAGTGCAAAGTACTTACACGACAGTCTCCAACTTTTAAAAATAGAATATATACCATGTTTTATGTAAAATCATAAAAGAGTATTTTAAAACATATAATGATGATAATAGTTCATATCACACTCCAAGAAGTTTGCATGAGTTCCTTCAACTAATCTTCATGACCACTCTTAAGTGACAGGGAAGGCCATTGTTCCAGCTAGTCCAATCCCTAGCAGCCTGGTTCTGGAGACATTTTAGTATGTTTTGTATTCAAATGCATCATCATCCAGAAAAAAAAATTGTTATTAAGAATTTATGATGCTCCTGTTGAAGTTTTAGAGGGTGATACAAACCATCCCTCTCTTCCCCTCCTGAGATCTGAACCAACAAAGAAATAGATAGGAAAATCAGAAAGTCAATGATGAAGGTGTCAATTCCATGGCAACTGGAGCTGGCCTGGGAACATGGACTTGTTCTACTAAACACCTGGGCTTCTTCCTACATCTGACCTGAGCTGAGCTTTACAACTTGACACTGGGAGAACCAGGCATGTTTGGGGCTCAGTGCCTCCACCCCCCAGCAGGGACTGAATATATGTGCATCTTGTGGAAAACACATGGAAGGGAAGTGGGTGGCTGGGGTGAGCACTGCGTAATTTGGCTCCTCCTCCTAGCTAAGTCACTCCTCTAAAGGAGGGGCCACCAAAGAGGAAAAATGCATTTCTTCCCTCCTTTTTCCTTCTGGCTAAACATGTCTTGAATAAAAACAGTAATCATAATTAAGAGTACTGCCATTTATTGAATACCTAATGTGCCAGATGCTGTATCTTGAGATTTTTAACGTAAGATTAAAGCATTTAAAAATCCCAACAATTTTGTCAAGATACTTATTCCCATCTCACAGTTGGAAAAATTAAAATTAAATCACTTGCCTAAGGTCAAGCTACCTTTCAGTAGAGATCCCAGGCGAAACTCAGTTTCATGGGTGTCTCTATTCTCTACTATGTAACTGCCACACCCTTATCATTTGCAGATTTGGTGATGGCAGAGAAAGTGGGGAATAGGAGAAATAGGAGTTGTGCCTGCAGTCTATATATATATATATATATATATATATATATATATATATATTCAGTATCTTTTTGTTTCAGGGGTTGGCACCCTTTTTATGTAATGGACCATATAGTAAACATTTGCAGCTTTGGGGCTATATGGTTTCTGTTGCAGCTACTCAACACTGCCATTTAGCGTGAAAGACACGATGATACCAAAGCAAATGATTGAGGCTGTATTCCAATAAAACTTTATTTATGGAAATTAAAATTTGAATTCCATCTGATGTTCACATCACAAAATATCAATCTTTTTGTTTCCCAGTCCTTTAAAAATATATAAAAGCCGTTCTTAGTTTGTGGATGATAATAAAACCAGGCAGCAGGGCCAGCTTTGGCCCCTGGGTCCTGGTTTGCTAACCCTTGGCTTAGTCAGTAAGAGAAACCAATAAACACAAGCCAGACACACACAAAAAATGGTCATAAATCCTACAAAGAATCAGAGAGGGCAGAGGTGACAGGGATTTATTTTGAAGATGTCAGGGGTGTAGGGATCCTGAAAGACACAGGAGCCTGCCTCTCCAACAAGGCTGGCTTGATTCCACAGCTGTGTTTATTTTCCAAAGCACTAGCCTACCATTTCCCTTAAAAATTGAGTATGAAATCAGAGGTGGGAAAAGAAATCAATTCAGAGCAATAATAAGAAAGGCTAATGGTGATTGGGGACTTTGTTATAGCAGCCTAATTAAAATGATTTATGACTGCCCAGAAAGGCTCTTCTGTTTGCCCCTGTTTATTGAGTAACAGCTCACATCAGCCATTACTCTATGCCCAACCCATGGGAAATTGCCTAATGGGTTCTGTTCAGGGAACATCATCAAATAAGCATGGGTCTTTTCCTAGGCACCCCTCCTTGTGGGTTGCCCAAGGCATTTTCCAGGTGAGGGCTGAAGGATATTGGTTAGAGAAGTTCTGGGGGTTTGCTTTCCTCTTGCCAATTAGTGGTTCCTTTAAGCTCTGGATCAAGGCAACTTCCTCCCTCAGCCTTCCAGACCCTGGCTGAGTATACAGGCTGCATGGGCTACTGGCTGGCATCCAGCAAATCGAACCATTTCTGCTGACTTTAGGAAGACATCTTGGTCTTGCTGCAGCTGTGGGTCAAACTCCAGTTCAGAGCAAGCTGGAAGGCCTAAAATAGAGTGCATGTGGAGTGTGAAAGCTCGATTCAGGAAGAAGGGTTATTTTTCTGCATGACACTAATTTGACTACAGGGCTTGAGATCCTTGAGTCCATCTCTGGTGTCCTAAAAGAGGGAAAGGCTGTTGTGGGGATTGTTTCATGGGACTTCTAAAGAGACCCTTCTCTTTGGACAAGCGCTGGTGGTAGAAGGGGAGATAATCATGTCCTTTACTTAAACCTGACCTGTTTGGGCCCAGGGCAAGGTGGACATCCCTTCTTCTCCATTCTTCCCATTTCTGAATTAAGAATGAGAAAAACCTGGGGGAGTTTATTAACATCTAATTTAGCTTAGGATTTGTCCAATTAGAAGTACAAACTTCATAGACTGCATCACAGCCCAAAATAGCCTTGCATTAGCCTTAGGTAATCATTTCTTTGTAGATCCAAAGGCATTTAGAAATGGAAAACTGAAATCAAAAAATTGAGCTTTGAAGGGAAGCTATAACTATAATAGTTGAAAATTTGGTCTCTAGAGTCAGACCCACCCTCGTGGCCTGTGGTGTTATATGTGCGCCTTAGATTCCTCGGCCATAAAATAGGGATGATATGCCATATGTGTTTCAGGTCGATTCCTTACAAGTTGACTTAAGTGAGAGTACTTTGTAGAAAGATCTATTGACCATTTGTTAAAATAAAAACAAACAAACAAAAACAACCTGTCAGACAAGTGGCTTAAACCAGATCTACAGTAGCTGACAGGAACAGTTTTGCCACCGGAGGGAGATGTGGATATAAGGTTGGGATCAGAGGCCAGGCCAGGGGAGTGTCTGAAATGCATGCTGGGGGACAGTGGGTTACACAAGATGCAGATGGACTGGCTAGAGTTTGCCCAGGTGGCTGCAGTGATGTCAGGAAAAATTCAAACTTGTAAAACATCCTCAATCATTTGGTGAGTTGATTATTTAGCAAATTGACCATTTAGTGGGTGAATCTTTGATGAGTTTCTCTACTTCCAATAGCAGTTCCTTCATAATGAGGTTGCTGTAAGAATTAAATGAAATGATGCATACAAAGCATTTAGCACACTTCCTGGCACAAAGCTAAAAAACAAAAAGATAAATCCTTTTCCTTGCATACACATCTTGGAGGCTTGGATACTATCCTCACTTTAGTTAGTGTTAGGATCTTTTTGCTTCAGTAGGTGCACAACATTTGAGTTGTAACGTATTCTTAAATGTATACAGGGCTAAAAAGAAAGCCTATATTAGTAAAATTGATTAAAAATAAATATGCCAAAACTTTAAAATAAAGCTAGGGGAAGGTATCCATGATCTTTTGGTATGACACTGGCCTATGATTGAACAGACCTGCCTAAGGATCATTAAATTACCCTGGACAGGGATTAGCACACTTTTTCTTTAAAGGGCTAGACAGAAAATATTTTCGTTTGTTTCTATTTTTGCCACATGAAAGCAGTCACAGACTATATGTAAGTGGATGTGTATGAGTGCATGCCAATAAAACCCAACAGGTGGCAAGCCTGATTGTCCCATAGGCTGTAATCTGCTGACCCCTGCTGTTGGAGAATATGGCTGTGTCTTATTTTGTTATTTACTAATTAACTGTGGAGTTACTTGCTAATTTGGAAAATTTTGACTTATAGAGAAGATAACCAAAAAGGCTATAGTTTTATTGCCTTGTGGAGTATAAACATTTCTGATTCTTAGTAATCTTATTTTAACATGTCTCTAAAATGCCTATTTCCTTAAATGCTCTTAGAACCATCCTTACCATCTCCCTCATACATAAGTTCAGTGTATTTTTCACACATGTTCATTCTACATTTGTTTAAGGGTGAAATTTTTAACCTTATAAATTATACTCTGACAAGCTTGTTAATTAGAATATTATTTATAGCTCTGTTTTAGAATAATAACAGCTATCATTGAGCAGTATCATATTCAGTACTTACACGTTTTAAATGCCAGTAGATAGGCATTATAAACCCATTTTGCAGAAAAGAAAACTGAAGCACAGAGATGTTAAATAGCTATTAATTGGTAGAATTTACACTTAACCCAGACTTTTCCTCACTCCACAGTCTAACCATAATTTGAACTGCCTTTCTTGGAAGACAAACACTGTGGACTTAATTACAACCTTGTCTGTTAGGAACTTTCAATCTTGATTTCCTATCATAATCCAATTACCAGAATCTAATGCGTGATGATGGAAGATATTTACACTGAGACATGTACTCCCTTGTGACTATAAAATTATGCCACACGTTTTTTTTTTTTTTACCTTGGCAGGTTTAGAGATATTCATAACTTCCCCTTAGCTGTATACATATACTGTTTGTCACGTTTATTGCTTTCAGGTGACTTGAAAGATGGTAAAAATAAGACAGACAAGAAGGATCACTCCAACATCGGAAATGATTCAAAGAAAACAGATGGTAAGAGTATTTTTCCCATTACGCTTTTTCCATAAAATTTGCAATTACTGAAAACTTGTTAGAATCATACCTGAAACTGAAATAGAGATGGTTAATATAGTTTTACACCCTAAAAAACACCCCACTCCACTACATTTAATAATACTGGTATCTCATTTTCAATAATTTACTAATTATTGCTGTGTCTCTTCTTCTCTGAAATCCTTCATTGTTTTGGTTGTCATAATGGCTCATTCCTAATTATTTCTTTATGCATGGACATGATATCAAGCTAAAAGTGAAAGTTTCCAGGGAGTGGTTTTGAAATTTGAACATAATTCTTCATGCATCTATTAAAAAGGAGAGAGCCCCTTCAGCTGGCAGCTGCACCCCATACCGCCATGCTGCCTTTACTTGCATGCATGAAATCAGTTTTCCCACTTGACATATTTGAATCCTAAACTTCATCAAAATCCCAAACTTCATTTTGGACTTGCTGACTGCAATGCAATGGAATAAGACATTCTGCTAATGTATTTATGAGTTTCTGATCACGAATTGGGCAACATAAATAGGACATGTTCTGTGCTTTTAGTTTGCACAATTTTTCCCTTGAGTAAATTATTACTTTTGGTAAAAATAAACAGGAATTGGGTCAGCRCAATGTTGCAATGCAACATATATAGTTATAGAACACAATTGGGCCAGTAAGAACAAGTCCTAAAGGCAGTGACAGCGCAAAATGCAGCATAAACCACCACAGTGAGGTGCTTCATGAGCATCGTTTATACTTTTTATAAACAACATTCCATTCTTTCTAAAACCTGAAAGTTCAAAATTAAATTACCTGCCACACTTGGAACTATTGGATTGAGAAACCTACCCTTACTTTTTACATACATTTTATTGTTTTGTTTGTCATACATGTTCATTCTTGAGCATCCCTTTAGGCATTGACATGATATTTAACTAAAAATGAAAATTTCGTGGGCATGGCTTTTGTTAAGAGTCCCATGCCCTTGTTGAAACTTCCCAGGAGACATTGTACTTGATGCTAAGGTATTCTGTGAATAAGAACAAGTGTTGGGTATTCAGGTTCAGGAATAAGAAGAAATTTAAACACGAGCATTCACACATCTATTAAAAATGAAACAGCTCCTTTAGCTTTTAGCCTTACGCCATAACAACATGCTTGCATGAAATCCATTTTCAAACCTTTCCTTTTAAGATGTAAGAAGTCACTCCAAGTGTCTTATCACACAATACCTGGGGAACTCACATCTGTCATTTTTAACCAACTTGCTTATGCAAATAGAAACCACTTAATGAACATATCTCCTTGAATAATTGTGAATAAGAAGTGAATTAAACAGAGATAAAATAGAATTCAAAATGGTAATATCTCAATCAGACTTTTATGGGAAAGGTTGTTCAAATACCAGGGACTCTTTGCCAGGCATCATCGGACCCACATCAAGGCAACCCAATCCAGGAAAGGTACCGAGGAAGAATGGGGTCACCTAAACCTAGCACCTGGACATCTTCCCCATCCACACTTGGCCCATTGCTCCCTGATCTGAATTCCTATAGCACAAAAGCCCATAATAAATCAGGTCCAAAATTTTTAATATGGAATCTTCCATCTTATGATTTTTATTATACTATAAATAGCTGCTATAATGTCATGTGGGCCTTGTGATTTAAGTTCTATTACCTTCATAAAGCCCTATTATGTTATCTGGTCCCCTTTTAACTGAATGATTTCCAAATATTTATAAGACTGAAAAATTTTAGGGGGAGGAAGGTGATGAAATAGATTCTATATCCTGTTGTATAAATAAGTGTAAAATTTGATTATTTAATGAGCAGGATTCTTGATCTTATGGGAGTGTGAACTGGCTCTAGTAAATAAAGACAAGCTCTAACATCTATCCTCTGTTTTTCCTCCATAATCCCACCCTTCACCATCCTCAAGAGGGGCTGCTGTGCCCTTACACTTGCAAATTTATATGCAAACATAGACAGGAACAACTTTGTATTCTAATGTCGTTATTGAACCGATCTGACATCTGTCATCATCACTACTTTGGCACCTACCCAAGAGGCAGAGCATTGAACTTCAGTGACTTACAATGGTTTAGTCCAAAACCTTTACTAGGACTAAAGCTAATTCTTGGTGGAATGAAGTGCAAAAGAATGACTCTCACCTACCCTTTCCTTTTAAGTCACTAAAGCTCTTTGCTACAGAAGTTTTTTTTTTTTAAAGGAATATATAGATCAGTGGATATATTGATTTAAAATCCCATATAGAAATAACATTTTGAACATTTCGTTCTAGTGGCTCTTATTATGTTTGGTGACCAGGTAGAGTTCATTTAACTTTTCAATGACCCTATTCCCATTCCAACCCTGAGAATCATTGACGAGTAGCTCTCTATAATTTTTGAGAGGGGAGTATCCAGGTACAATTCATACCCACTGTGATTAACCCACTATGGTTCGTGGTTGTAGCATTGTAAACATTCAGAGAGAAACCAGTTGGTTTTTCCCAAACTCTCATGACCTTGGGCCTGCACATGGTGGGGAGGTAATGTGTTCTGAAACAGTAAATTACATCCTTGCATAATGACCACACTGCAATGGCACATTATCTCTGTCAGGTTACTGAGGTTCTCTTTAGTACCCTGTAGCAATAATTTTCTAACTGACTTCAAAGAATGGCTGTCCTCTGAAAGTACCTTACTTACCTCCAGAGAGAAATGCACTAACATAAAAAAATCTAGGTCTCTGAGCCAAATTTCTCTTAGTGTCTAAAATTTTCCATCATTATTGGGAGACTTGCAGGGTACCACACAAATTAATTCTTTTAGGGCATTTTTAGTCATGGTTGTAAGAGCATTGCCTCTTGACCTAACATGATTTATTATAGTTGTTCAAAAATACAAACTTACCCTTCGTTATACTTGACCACGTAACAGAGAGAGATGAGACGCCCACCTTTTGTGTCTCTCAGAAGATGGGTTATAATTAGGTCCTGCACTGTTATTAGCCAAATCCCAGAGAGTGAGTCCAACTGGAGTTTCTCCTTCACTGAACATTCTGGGAATTGGAATGTTTAATATCAGTTCATGAAATTTAAAAGCAAGCTGGGAAAAGTGGAAAAGGTGGACAAAAGAAAATCCACAAATGTCTGCCTCTGACAAAGAGAAATAACCAGAACTGGATTTCTCTTCTCACCTGAATCAAGAGAGAGAGGAAAAGAGAGGCTGACCACCACTGGACAATGTTTGTAATAGAATGGTTTTCAAGATACCAGAGGTCAGAAAATGAAGAAGAGTGATTTTGGAGAGAAAAGAGATGAATGAGGTGAACCCTGTGATGGCCCCAGTTACTGCCATGAGAGGATTCTTCGACAACAATGGAAAGGAGGGACATGGGCAGACCTGGTTGACCCTCTGAGTTGAGAATTTGAGTAAGAGTTCAGGGAAACCAACCTGGGCATTCCATCCCTGAGTTCCAACCTGGTTAGGGTTGACAAAATAAAATATAAAAGAAGAGAACTAGAAAACTCCAGAGATCTGGAATGTATTCTCCAGAATTCTGATCAACCCATGCAATGAGGAAACTACCTGAGGCCTAAAAAGAACCAGCCAAGAGGATTAGAGGTAATGGTCCTGATGTTCACAAGGAGCAAGAATTGTGCCTATTCCCACCAACTAGAATTGAACCTCTCATCATTTAAAGGAAATTAGGTACTCACAATTGTCTTGAATTTGTAGGGAGAAATAATTAGCTACTTAGCTGTAGGCTAAGTGCTGCTCTAGTCCTGCCTAACAAATCTCAAAAAGCAAGACAAAAGGATCAAAATGTTTCCAGGTAACTTAATTACATCCCAGAACACAGCTCAAGGAGGGTGTGTGTGTGTGTGTGTGTGTGTGTGTGTGTGTGTGTGTGATCTAGCACCCAACAAATTAAAATTCACAATGTCTGCATCTAATAATAATAATAATAAAATCCCTGGGCATTCAAAGCAACAAAAAAACACTGCTCATAATGAGGAATAAACTAACAAGCAAATACCCAACTAGTTGAAACCAACTCAAAGATAAATGTTAGAATTATCAGACTAGGAAATTAAAGCAGCTCTTACAACTTTAGTACATATGTTCAGAACTTAAGAAGAGACATGCATACATTTATAAAGATCAAAAATCAAGCTTCCAGATATGAAAACTATAGGTCTGATATGAAAAATACACTGGATGGTGTTAATAGGAAGACATTGGGTGGGATTAATAGTAAAGGCAATGGGATTAGACATTGAGGGAAAAAAAGTAGTGAAAAAATTAGACATATAAATAAAGCATAAAAGGAATAAAAACAGAATAAAGAATACAATATAAATTATTATAAATAGCAGATTCCTTGGAATCTCCAAATAGAAGAAAGAGTGGGGAAGAAAGGAAACTATTTGAAGACTCAATGGGCAAAATTTTGCTGCATGATGAAAACTATAAATCTAAGAAGCTCAATAAAGCCCAAGAACAAGAAACACAAAGAAAAAATTACACCAAACATATCGAAATCAAATTGCTCTTAACAAAGATGAAAAGAAATGTTTAAAAACAGCCAAAGAGAGGGAAAAAAAACACATGTGCACAAGTGAACAAAGGTGAGGATGATAGTAGATTTCTTGTTAGAGAAAACAAGTCAACAGGGGAGCACCATCTTTAAAATCCTGAAAGGAAAAAAAAATCACCCAAGAATTCTGTATCCACCAAAAATATTTTTTTTTAGAAATTCAGGTGAACTAAAGATAATTTTCATTAAAGATAATTTCATACCATACAAAGKTTTTCTTATCATTACTCCCTAAACAATATACTATAATAACTATTTACCTAGCATTTATGCTGTGTAAGGTAGTCTAAGTTATCTAGAGATAATCTAAAAAGAATATGGGAGGATGTGCATAGGTTATGTTCAAATACTATGACATTGTATGCAAGGAACTTGACCTT